TTTATTTATATTTTTAGCATTAAGGAAGAAGGATGGAAAGTGAGGGAGAGAGAGAGAGAGAGAGACAAAACGGAAGGAGAGCGGACGGGTAAGTACACCCTTTTAATACAGCCAGCGTCACTCTCCTGACAACATGACAAAGCGGTTGTAGGGTGATTAAAAAAATGCAAGCTAAAAACTTTCGAAATATTCTAGTACTTTTTACCATACACGAGAATGAGTAGTTTTGTTGGGCAAAAAAAGATATGGCGCCAGCTGAACACTACTCAGATGATGAAGGCCAACTCATTGCATGCTTGAGACCTCTGCCAAAATACACGCTATTAAACAAGTGATTGAGTCCATCAAACGATTTCTTGAAAAAAGAGATAATTAATCAACAAAATAAAAGTTAAAATAAACTTGTAAGCAGGACAACCCCCTATTACAAAGTCAGGTCTTAGTGGACCACCTTTGATAATAATACAATATGCTTGTATGAAAGCTTAATGGTGTGTCCAGTTAGAGGATAGAATTCGCAAAAGCTATGGAATATGTTTAAGGAGTAGATAATGAACCAATAGAGAGTTGGTTCAGATTTATTACTATAACTGACTGGAATCTGGGGTAACCTCTGGTGTGATCGAAGTAAAATACCAGCAAACAAAACAGCCTAATCCTGAACTGGCTGATTGCATCAGTTCGCCAGTCCGGACAACGCATAGCTAAAATTTTGGCGAATTAACTAACGAGTTATGCATAGTTGGCTAGATGCCTTATCTACTAGTATTTAACGAGAACAATGACTGTCTCCGAATTTCAGTTTGTGCTAAACTATAGCTTTACTTTAATAGCTAAAATACAACCAAATTAAAAAGAACGTCGACTTTATTAAGACGCAGAGGTCCAACGCTGAACCTGTATTAAAAGAACAAAAAATAAATCAACCCAAGTTTTTGAAGTCATACATTTGCAAGGAAGATAAAGCATTCACTCATACCACTCGACTTACTGAGAACACTACTCTTTTCTTGACTACGTAGTAGAAGTAGTAATAAAAATAATTCCTCGAATGTGCTAAAGAAAGTTCCCATTTGAGTTTATCTGATTTTGATAAGAAGGAGGAAAGTGGAGGAGACCGGGCATGCTGCCTGAGTCACAAGTAGTATTTTTATGCAACTCTTGGCACCTCGGCCTCGCGTGAACAATTAAATTAGGCAGCAGGGGGCTGTTTCAACTCCTGCCCGCGCACTCAAAAGAGGAAGATATAGTGGATTAGTAGGGACTGCGTCGCCAGATCTCAGAAAGTAATAGGAATATTTTTTGATAAGCACGAAAATCCGCAAAATTACTGAGAATACTTAAAAATTCGCACATTATTTGTAAAATTGGTTGAAAATCAAAATTCACAAACTTGTTTCAATTTGTTTAAGTTGATACGATTCCCGTATCATTGACAACCGACTAATTGGCTCCTTTTTTATATCCAAGATAGGCATCAATTGAAGATACTAATCTATTCCCCAATTATACACCTTAGACCGATTGATTCCGAAGAAATTTAAGCATTTTGTCAACCAGGCAAATACTAATAAAAAATAAAGAAAATTTAAGTGAACTGAGCAGCAGAAATGATAAGTAGTGGAAACCATTTCCGAAATGAGAACGAGGAAAGGCGCTAGCGGGTTGAGAAGTGAAAAATTGGGAGTGGTTTCAGTTTGACAGAAAAAAAATGCAGTAGTTATCTGCCAATGATCTAGGGGGTTAGCCTAGGCAATGCGTTGGTAACTTAAGCAAATATTGATAATTCAGGCGCTTATGCAAAAAGCTCCATATTTCCTAAGTAAGCAAGAACATTGGTAGGAAAATGAAGCAAATAAGAGTGTAAAGAAACCGTTCTTTCATCAGAGCACATTAATGTCTTTATCACTTTTCGCAAACGATCGACCATTAACCAAACGACATTGTTAATTTCTTAAATAAAAGCGCCTTATTTAAATGGGAAAAGGTAGGGAATTACATCGAATCGCCTGCAAATAACACTAAATATGTTAATCAGTAACTGGATAATAAGGTTAACTTCTAATTGAGCCGCGAAAGAAATGAATCTAGGTGCTCGGACATATATCACTGAAATTGCAATTTGACCATCTATAAAATCCTAAATAGAACTGTTCTTAAAATGACAAAGGACGATAAATTAATCACCAGTACACGAAAAATATATTAGAATCTTCCGGTTAAAGGAAGCGATTCATGTCAACCTTCTGCAAGTCCACAATTAATCTTACTTTGGCAATATTATGAAAAAACGTCCACTAGAAACGTCTCCAATCTCGATAGAAGGGCAAGGAGTAAGGTTGAATCGAATTGCGGAAAATAAAAAGAATCGGAGGATAACTCAAAGCCGCAAAGGACATAGTGGACACAAAATGACACAGTCAACAGATTGGCAGAAATTTCCTAACGGCCGGCTAACTTTTGGCTTTGCGAATTCACTTGTTTTCTTTCTTTCTTCATGTGCTATCCAAATTTATGCCCTTATGTCCAGTTAAAAATCATTACCCGATAGTGCGTTGACACAGAATTGACACTTGTAAAGGTTAATGATGCAAGATGCAGATCAAAAAACAGGACCTCCTGATATTGGATTGAGCAAAGGTTGCGTTAACTTAAAGGTTAAGTCATTAGAGCACAAAGTATTGAATATCACAATTGCTTATTTGAAGAAAAACGCGTTAATTTTATGATGCAGCCTCAATTTGAACCATAAATAAGGATGCAGTTGATAACTTCATGATATATATTTATCAAATTACAGAATACAACTAAGAAATATTTTGTTGGCAAACCTCGTATGCAGTGACCTTGAGTGTAGAAAAATCACTAGATGACAGATTAGATTCTATGCCAACCAGCGCTCAATAGGCAAACAGAAACTTTTTAGAATTTGGTAATTTATAGTCACTACAAAATAGGTGCTTAACAATGCTTTTCTCCAATGAAAGTTTAGCTAAATTTTTACGATCATATTAAAATAAATAAAGCCTTAAGAAACTTTGTAGATTAAGAAAAAAGCGGATACAAACAGGCTTTCAATAAAGGTACTTATATTCCTACATTGAAAAAGAGGGAGTGTTGGAAAAAGAATTTCACCTTCATGCCTTTCTACTTCCTTTTTCATGTTGAGTGCTTATTCACGTAAATTATGCTAGTTTATTTTTTTATAGAAAAAAACAGAGGTTGTACAAGACTTTCGTGGTTTCAATTTTGTTGAAATTTTCGTCTATAAAAGTGAAATTCAAACGAAGATAAAGGCACAATTTCTACAAGATATCGGAGTGTGATTAATTGAGACAATCTTAAAAAAACTTGTTGCTCTCAGCTAGACTGCACTAATATATCAAATTTAACTTTCGAGTAAATTAGACAAACGGGATGGAGTAAACTGTTGTGACAATCAAAATTTTAAATGGTTGCATAGTTAATGATAAATATTAGAACAAACTATACAACAAACTTAACAATTTAAGAGGATAAACCCTTCCATAATTTGGGGATAAATCTAAGAGAGTGTCAATAGGATGTTTATCGATGTTTTCGAGGTGTTCACGACAGAACATCACATTTTCTGGAATTTTTTAAATCCTACTCCTTTCATACAAGTTCTCACAGCAACAATGATAAATGGGACCCAACTGAACTATAGAAGTGAATGCTTCATATCGAGATGGCTCGAGTCCATCGTCAGAATAAGTAAACTGTGCTCGTCACTCAATGCTATCTCCACACTCTCAACACCACTGCAAATGGAGAGACCTCGAAGTTTATGTGGCTAAAACCAAGCAATGTAACTCGCCACATGATTCGAGCTGGTTACCCTCGCAAATCCGATTCCATCGAAAGGGATATACCGATGCGCCCGCTCATATGGAATCTAAATTAGACGGTGCTTCCGAGTTTTGCGACTGACATATGGTAAGATTATGCAAATTAAGAATTTATTTTCTGCGCGATTGAAGACATAATACAGCTTAAATAAATTACCGGACGATTATGAAATTACCGAAACATTTGATGTACATAAGCCAGACAATAGCTCTCTTATTAAAACATCAACGCGAAGGTCAGATGAGGACTCGAATGTTTACAGCATGATGCCAATAGACTTAGTTTACTAGGTTCTGGTATCCTTCTCATTTGTCTATTAAGAGTTTGTTTATTCGAAAGTCATGAACAAAGGATATGTTATTAATCAAACTATATACACTGATGTAGAATACTTTCTAAACAACAAATATCTCTCCAGAGGTTTTAGAACTGATGTTCGTTAGCAAGACATCCCAGAGATTTCTCATACTAAGAAGAGTAATGCTTCAACATACATTATTGGATATGTAATCATAGAATATCGATATTTGCCAAGGTATATGAGAAAAATATTCAAAGAGTTACCTTTTCCATTGAATAAAGCCTACTAAGCATGTCTCGTGACGGCATTTTATACTATTGACGGATTGAACACCAAGTTTGCGGTGAAATTTTTAATACAACTATGTAAACAATTGGTAGAAATTGAGCCCACTCACAAAAAATAAATTAAAATAAGCCAAAGGAAGATTAACCAGGTTTTGAAATCTACAAAACCTTTGGCTCAAAAAGGGCAACACCACATCTTGTTCTATAAAGCAGGTGAGTAATAGGATTTCGCCATCAGGCCACTCATAACGGATTTTCCGTACATAAAGTGACTAAAATTACCATCAATTTGAGCCAAACTTCCAGTAAAAGTTGTACATAATTATTGAATCTTGCAACGGTTAAATTCATTTTTTAATTTTCCCAACCTCCAGCATTTTCTCACACTCTCTGTTCATATAAACTTAACTCTAAAGAAGAACGCAGCACTACCACAAATTGTTCTAATTACTGTTAAACGATCTTGAACTAGTTCAAAAAAAATTAAGAAAATGCGCAGTAACGAATAACTGCACTTTTAAGAACTTATGCCTAGTGAAGTTTTACCCACGAGTCTTCAAACCATAGTCACAGGTAACCTAAATCACGAAAGTGCTAAAAAACAGAGGCATCGTAGACAATTTGAGTTACTTAAAACTCCAAATCTTTGAAAACTGTAAATCTGGCTATTCGAATTGAGCCTATAGTGTAGCACTTTATTTAAATGGACTTAACTCAAACCAATCATTTCAACGAATTGGATAAGTGTAAGCCAAATCACACTTACCCTTCGAGAAGTAGTCAAGCGCCCGAGAGATATGACAACATTCAATTCGTAGAAAGATTCAGAGTCAGCATTCAGCCACTGTCGAAGATAAACAACCGCCTTGTTACCCGACAGAGTTGCGATTCCAAAGGGTGTAGATTCAAGATTATCTTGAATAAAAAGATAATAAAGATTTATTATTATTATTAGTATTAGTAGTAGTATTAGTAGTAGTTCTACCCCACAAGTACGAAATTTTCACATTTTGGCTTATAGGAAGCAACTAAAACCAGTTAACAGATTGTTCAAAAGGTAAAAAAGAGTAAATACTAGAAAGACGCCGATGAGAAACGCAAAAAACATCCGAGTCTTACTTTATTCGATCTTTCGATTCGGATGGTAAACTATTTACTATTTGGAAATCACATTCAAAGAGACTAGTATCACGGTTTGACAGCTTGATTGCAGTACATGCGCGTGTACGATGCTTAGTGCTTATTGACAATTAAAATTGAGAACAATCGGTTCCGTCGCTTTATTTTCGAAGCTTGCCCAATAGTTGAGAAAGCAAAATATTCTTTGATGAATTTCGGCAGCGTACACTTTAAGCAAGATGGGTATGATGAGATGGCTAATAGGGACGACTTGGCAGAGCTTCATAAATATTAATTAATTAAATTGGCATAACGTTTCTGGCCAATTTTGATAATAATAATAACAATTCAGACGAGTGATGCTTAGATAAGTGCGAGGCTAATTATCAATATAATTCGTTAATTGTCTAAGAAGAGAAGGAAACTTGAGCCCTAAAACTGCTGAGAGCAAGCGTTGGGATGATCGGGTATTGAATTTAAAGTGGATTTCAAAGTAGGTGGCGTGTAGCCAATCCTAGGTACAACAATTTAGACAACTCCAAGCGAAATCGGTTTAAGCCCATCGACAAAATTTGAAGGCCTTATCGTAAATTCCATGCAAATAAAGCGGCTAATATAATCTAAACAATGTGACTAACATTTAAAACAAATTGCATTTTATATCTATTTATTAGCACTGTAAATAAATTCATCAGCAATGTGGAAAGTAATTCATAGGATGCTACAAATTTTAAAAATTTGTTATATATATATATATATATATATATATATATTGCCGCAGTGGGATTCGGTCACTTGCCACATCACAGAAAGAAGTCAAAAGCGGCTTTAGTCAATTTTACAACTACATCAGTCCCAATGTTTGCCCTGCGAACTCCCCCTTTCACACGATAAGATCTTAGCCTCATGGGGTCTGTGAGGAAAGACACCATTCGCCCTGCCAGTACTATATGAGCCAAACTCTTTGACAATGGTGTATTTGCCTACCACGTTCGTGGTTTCCATCCCCTTTTCCTTCCTAGTGAGACTGCCAAATATAACCTGTGCATCCTATATCTGCAACATATCAGCACTTCAATGTTAATTCTCTCATTGCAAAGTGAGCGGACTTTGCTTTTAATGATGAATTACCGAAATATAATTGAATGAAGTAACAAACAACAGTGAAAAATGCCCCAGACATCACAAATGAAAAAGGGAACCACAAGGAAGAGCATGTGAGATTACTAGGGTGTAGGAAATAAAATTGACTTTTAAACTTCTCAGTAGTATATTCTTACTATAAGCAATCGATCCACGTCTCCCGGCTTTCATGCCATTTAAGCTCAAAAATTTAGAAATCCCAGAAAAGAGTTTGGCTAATTTCGGTTAGTAACATATATTCCAAATATAGAGCAAATATAAGATAGTTTAACGACAGCAAATTTGTTGTGTCCATTATTTTTTGAGTCAACAAAATTCTCACGATCTGTCAAAAGTTTGACAGTTGATGAAGGATAGATGTCAGTTTGACTATTTTCCCTACAAGGCCGAAGCTACCAGACAGCAATCAAGGCTAATGAAAACAAGGGATTGAGTTTCCACTACACTGCCTAAGAGGACGTCTTTGCACATTTGATGACCAGTAGTTTAACTTTATGAATGGAGCGAAATCCGAGTGAAAACAAGAGAACTAAGTAGAAAATGGCATATTGTCATGTTCCTTTTTCTTCTTCTGGTTAAATAAAGTTTTTAAGGTCAAAACTTGATTTGCACTGGTGGCGAACGTGTTTAATTTGATTAATTGAGGTGTACGTATATGCGGGTGTCGCATCAGAGACACTTCAAGACTTAAAACTCTGGTGAGGTGGATCCCCTCAACAGACTTTGGGTTAGTTTTAACAAAAAATGATAAGAATCTCTTTCTCCTTACTTTGGATTGGGAAGAGATTATATCTGGCATCGATGTCCTTAATGCAGTGGGTTAAACCTCACGAGATCACCTGCATGGTTAGAGATACAAAATACGCAATTCATCACATAGGGGCATAAGTTTTATCGTCTAGCGTCAGATGTCACCGTCACTAAGGTAAGCAGACGTAGTCCCCGTGTATCTAAGACCATATACCAAGATTACACCCCAACGATAGGACACACGCACACACACACACACACACACACACACACACGTATTCAATTGCACCTACTGAGGTCAAAGAGCATTCGCGTGAGCGATAAATACACAGGCATGGACACGTAGTATGTGATGTCAGTGATGCCCAAGGAGTGTGTATGCAAGCTACTTGGCTGAGAAAAGGCACCGTTTCCGACCCTTTTGCGAAGGTGACCAAGACTCTGCCAGTCATATTCTGGGCATAAAATAAAATTTATGTGTGGCCAGGGAAATCGATGTTGCTAACTGCTGATAGGGAATGCGAATAGAGCACCACTGTATAACTTCGCACGGGATATGCGAATTAACTTGTTGGGCTGCCAAGGGTACCATTCACTTTGAGATTTCTAAACTCACCTTAGAAATAAGACTATTTACCTGACGCTTTTAATTTCGTTATGGGAAAAAGAGAATAAAATAGAGATTAGTTGGCCTTTTATGGATTAGCGTTGTAAAATACTATTTTAATAGCCCTGTAGCTATAATGAACTGAGTGATACCACATTGAAATTTTCAAGCTCGCGCTTCTCACTGTTTTGCCATCAAAGGAAGTAAAATTTATTGATGATGAGTAAATGTAGACCTTTAATGCTGATGGGTATTCTATGCAACTGCTATCTGCCTCTCCCAATCTCACTGATGCTAACCACTAACCGAAATTAACTTCTGAAAAATTTTGAAGGAGTACTAAACAAAGCTAAAGATTCAGAGAAATTCTCCGTTTACTTCTTAAGAAAAGGGGTGTGTGATAGACTTATCTCCACGTGGTGCACCCTGGGCAACGTATACTCATACGGCAAAAAAGTCTATAACACGGCAGTTGACTTCTGACTTCAAACTACCCCCACTGTATGTCATATTCGACCCCTTTCACAGTACTCATCTTACCTTTTCTCTGCTCTTTTGTCTGTCTCTGTCACATCTGTGAATCGCTCTTCTGTTCCCCACCCCTCGACTTTCTGCTACTTTGGTGTTTCTCCTCCTCTCTGTGAAGCCTGAAGTCAGCTAAATGGCTAATGATAACTATCAAAACGCCTGCCATTTGAAATAAATAAATAAACTTCTCAAGAAAAGGTATCCTCGTATTCTCTCTCCCCTTTTATTCGGTAAATTTAATAACGAAAATCATTCATTTCAAACCTAATTATATTCTAATTCGAGCAATAAGCGCAACATTAATTTCAATGAACTGGGTATAAAATATAATGAAGAATTCCATTTTAAAACAAAAACAGGTTTCATAAAGGTCCCAGCGGAGGCATCCAACTTTTTTCACAATTAAATAGCTCTATCTTTTCCTTAATTGGTCAAAGTGTGCTCAAGTGACGCGCTACTTTAAATGGACAAGTTAGAAAAACAGCGTTTGCGCTTAATATATAAAAACCATA